TGGGCCTTGAATGTATATAGTCTTCAGAACTACTAAAAACTGTAAGAAAATCGCATAATTCCTTCGGATAGACCCCAAACAAGAAATTTAACTTTTTATTTATTTCGTTAACCTGCTTATCTTCTTTCTAAAAATTGGGGTATCCAATAATGAACGTCTTGTTGATGAAGTCAACACCAAGACATCTTCCGTCGCAGATGTGCGTAGACGAAGTGGGACAGGATGATTGAGTCTACTGTATACACATGACATCATACAAAATATATTCAAATATTCAAGTTTGTTCGTGACAACTTGTTGAGATAACTTTCAAACATAGATAATTATGGATACACTTGGATTTGAAGGCCCACATTTCTACGGTAAGCTGTGAACATTATTATTGATTTGCTTTGCTGGGTAATTCACGTTTCGGAGGCCAAGGTATGATTTACTCGCGGAAATCCTACACCTGTCCCTTTAAATACTATTAGCAAGTGTATACAATCTATAAATTGACTCAATGACCGTATTTGTTAAATTGGAGCAAACAATAATTTAATATGAAGTTAACCCAAAAGCTGTAACATGAAATTTACAAAAGCCAAAGCGAAATTTTAAGTAACTAAGCCAATCAACAACATTTTCTAAGAGAAATTAATACATACAACTAGGAACCCTATTTCTTGTACCAAAATAAATTACAACAATAAAATATTTCACTGCTAAAACAGTGCTCAATACAGTGGGAAATAGAAATATTAAGGAATTGAATTAGAATAAATTAGAGGTATTTCTATATTGCTCTACAATTGATGTATCAAGCAATATTTTAACACTGAAAATATTTTATTTTATATTGTAGAAATTAAATTATAATATTGATCAATACATCTTAATACTTTCTATTCCATTAAAATCAATACCGGTACATGTACAAAATCTTGGAGAGAATTATTTAAATAAAAGTAAATATTCACAAACCTTGTACAGAATATGTTTTGACTAATTGACTAGCCTGGTTATTTGACAGATCTTTCTGTTCATATACAGTCAAATAATATGTTGTTGGTCCAGTTTTCAGAGATGGTTTATTCCAAGTCACCAGAAAGCTGGTAGATTTGATTTGTGGAACTGGTACATTCAAATTACTTGGTTCACCAGCAGCTTAAAAAAGATAAGAGACAAGTTTAAATAGATTGAAGGCAACATGTAATATTGTTAATCTCACAAATACTTCAAATGTTAATATCTCAGAATTTCTATACTATTCTATATAGTCATTGATCAGTAGGGGAAATACACAAGACTGTTTTCAAACTGTATGAAACATGCTCAACTCAACCTTTCCTGTGCTGTTTTAGGAAGCAAATTATTGCATTAAAGTCACAGAATAATTTTTTTACCTTCTTCAAGTGTTTGTGCTGATTTAGAAGCTACAGATCCTGGTCCAGCTTTATTATATGGTGTAACTATTAGAGTATAGTTGATATATGGTAACAAATCAGTTATCATTTGTGTAATACCAGCTTTTAAATCTGTTACATTATATGGTGGTGTTACACCTGCACAATTATTAGTCGTTGGCTAAAATAGTAAAATATAATAAGTGATAAAAAAGGAGGTAGGATTTATTCAAAAAGTTCAGTCTAATTTTTTTGACAAATATTTAAGAGGCCCGTCTTTAGAGCCTAAATGAAGTGGCTATATAAAAAATAAAAACTAATAACGGAACGAAAATTTGGTCTAAAGTGTCAAAACGTTCATATATTGCTGTGTTGTTTTGGATTTAGGGTTTTGTTTTACAGATCCAATTGTTAGTACCTAAATACTAAATAGGAGTTCTATTATGTTACAATTAATGAAAGTCCAGGCAAGCTTACTAGCAATAAAACAAACCCACCCATGCAAGATCTATTCGAAATATTAAATTACATGTGTAGACCAAATATAATAAGAATATTATAATAATATACATTCTGATACTTATATTATTAGTACTATTATTCACATATATAAATAGTTGTACACATTCACTACCATTCTTCACATCTAATATATAAACACTAGGCCTACCTATATCAGATACTGAATAATAATATACATACTGATACTTACCTTATTATTAATATCAGTAACATATATATATTGTTGAATACATTCACTACCATTCTTTACATCTAATATTATAAACACTAGGCCTACCTATATCAGATACTGAATAATAATATACATACTGATACTTACCTTATTATTAATATCAGTAACATATATATATTGTTGAATACATTCACTACCAATCTTAACATCTAATATATAAGCAGTAAGAACACCCATATCTTCATCAGGATAAAACCAAGATACAGTAAGATTTCTACTATTGATGTTAGTTATATTTAAATCTTTAACAGGATCAGACCCTAAATTAAACGTTATCATTAATTACATATAACACTTTTAATCATTCACCACCCTATTTTAGATCATAAAATCATTCTAAAATACATGAGAGCAGCTACAAAGCTCAGTGAAGACCCTTTGGCCATCAAAGAATAAATATGTCAAAACAAAAGTTCATTTGGCAAGAGAATTCCATGTACTTAGAGGAAAATGTTCTCAATCACAAAGTAAGAAATATTTACAATTTGCTCTGATTTTTCATTTTAAATATCTTTATTTTCAATGTCACAAGCAACACAGATGTCATTGGAATTGGAAAACGGGTACAATTTAAAGCTTTTTTTGTACCAAATGCTAGATGAGTGATATTTTTTTTACATTTTACTGTCTGACTACATTGAGCTCTGAATCGAACTTTTTCTCTCATTTCATAAATATTCACAATAAAATTTTGAATCGTTAGCCATTTATCTTAGAATGCCTTCGGATCCACAGAAATATGAGGATCAGTGATTTTACATTTAGAATAGAAACACATCCCGAACCATTTTTTGGACTGAAAATTCCCCTCGGTAAAATCATTTATACAATTAATATTTTTTTCAGTGGTTGACATTTTCATCAACCCAAAGAAATTCTAAGACTCTCATTAGTATTTTGTAGTTGGTATTTTTTAATTCATAGGAAAATGATTGTAAAAATTCAATTCAGAAAACAGTGTAGTTAGAGAGTAGTTCCATGGATGTTTACTCCTATCATGTCACAATCTATTGTTTAAAAGTTAAAAAATTGACAATGCTGTATTCTAATTATCACCTGATAATTAACCTGATTTTAATTTGATGACATTTATGTATGACTATCATTTTTACAAAAATACAATCATGAGAACTAACCTCTTGAGCTTGTGTTGAAAGTCTTTGTAATTCCTGTGCTATTCTTTCCATTATAAACAGCAATAATACTGATAGTGTATTGTCTACCAGGTTGTAATGTATTAGCTGGTAGTGTTATACTATTAGTAGTTGGTTCTTGTGTAAAAGGGGTGTTAAGACCTGGTCCTGTTATTTCTACAATGTATTTATCTACTCCACCAGTTGGTTTAACAAATCCAATGTTCATTACTTTAGTAGTATCATAGTTATTATCAGAATTTAATGGTCCAGGTTTACCAGGATCTAGAAATAGAAATGATATGAAAATCATAATTTTTGTTATAAAAAGGGACTGAAAGCAAAGTAAAATTATTGTTTTGATATGGAATATTTAAATCATGTATTTATAAAATGTACATTATAATTCATGTATTGATTATGTATATTTATATATATCCCATCTGAACAACTAGAAGCTTTATCAGCTAGATAGAAAAGGGATTAAGAATCCAAAAGGCTATACTATCTTGATCCTCAAAGTGTTTGAACTTAATAGTGGTAAGAGTCTTACTTTTTTAAAATTGTGACTCTTAACTGGTTGGCTGTTGAATTTAAGATTGAATGAAATAAGACATCGAATTCAGTACCTTTAAAATGATAGTACATATAATTCATTCTATGAACAAAACTCAAAGTAATATTGAGTCAGTAGAAAGTTAATGTTACTTACTGGTACTATCAGTTATCTCATCAGACACAGCATCTTCAGTAGTACTACCTCTATCAGTTCTAACTTTAGTTGTTATCTTAATATTAGTATAATCAGTTCCTGATGATAGACCAGTTACTGTACCAGTACGAGCTGTAGAGACC